GCGGGCTGCGGACGTCCACACTTCGATCTATTGCCTGGAGGGTGAGTAAGCGTGTGATTTGAAACAACACTTTCGATTCATTGTTATCGTAACTTTTCATCGAGGGGCCTTATCTAGAGTGCAGAGAGCGCATTACGTTTTTCATGTAGATTAGATGCACTCCTCTTTTTCTTGTTTAGCAAGACACCCTATTGTTGGGTGTAAGCGGCTTTATCGCTCCGAGCGCTGCAAACTGGCGCGGTTCGGCTTGGGGAAAGGAGGGGGAAGGGAGCACATTTCCTCCTTCGCTGCATCCCAGCCATCAAGTAAAGATTTGCGAAATCTGGTGAAGTATGAAGTGATACCAGTCAGGCAGCGTTTATACTTTGCGGCAGTGTCCACCACAATAACGATTATTCAGTAGGGCGCAAGTGGCTCACAAAAGAATTTAGGCGTGAGGTTGAATGCATTGCGATAGTCGGCTGCGGACTCACACCATATTGGACGCGCTTCACCTAAAAAAGCGGTCGCAGCCAATTTTGCCGACATGTGCCTTGGCTGCTGTAACGGAAGCGCGAACTATTCCAGGGTATAATGCACAGTAGGAAGTCGAACTAAAATTATTATTGAGAAAAAGCGAACCTTTTTCGGTCAACAAACTGAAATTCTCGTCAACTTGAGAGGAAGGAGGGCAGTTTTCGTTCTGCTCAGAAACTAAGGTTTCGATGATTTTTTTTCCTATGCTATATCAAATCATATTCCACTGGGTAATCAGAGCACCAATCGTCCTGTAACCAGAGGTTCAAATGCGGTGAAGTTGAAAAAAATCAGGCTCAAATATTGTAGCTGGAAACGCGAAAATCATCAGCTAAAAATCATAAAATGGCACTATCCAACTATTACTGCCCCAAATAGTCAAAAAATTTTTTTCGTGAAACCTCGCCCACAGAGGTAGTTCGGTGTCCTGATCACGAATATAGCACTCGTTTTGGGCGCTGGCGCCGAATTGGCGCCAGTTTGGCGCCGCCACCTTTCCCACCAAATTCGGTGTAAATTTGCATATAGGTTTATTTGATGTCCTAATCACGAATATCGAATTTATTTTGGCTATATTTGACAAGATGCAGTTCTCAGCCCTGACTGCGCACACAGACGCATAAGGCGCTTGATTAGCGCCGCACCCTTTTTCATCAAAATTGATAAAAACGCGCATAATGGGGTTGTTTGATGCCCTGATCACGAATATGACATTTATTCTCCGACGCCAGCGCCATTTAGCGCTTTTCTAAGGCTGAGCCTGGGGGAAAGAGTGATTTCTTTTAGGTCAGGCCAGCCATACCAGAGCGCAGATAATCGCAGTCTTCCATCAGCGTCAAGAATGAATGTGATATCTGATCAAGATGTTAAATGACAAGTTTTCAGCGGATTTAGTGACCTAGGGTATTTTGGCGCCGACGCAAAAATACCCTAGGTCAGGCCAAGTGGATGTGATGTTCGTGTTCAGGAGGTCTAATTACTTCTAGAACCCAACTTTCAGCCATATCTGCCCTCGTAGAAAAAAAGTTGATTAAGATCCGGCCTGTTTTCGGAAAATTGGGTTTTTTTCAGGTAGAGCGCGTCCAATATGGTGTGAGTCCGCAGCCGACTATCGCAATGCATTCAACCTCACGCCTAAATTCTTTTGTGAGCCACTTGCGCCCTACTGAATAATCGTTATTGTGTGTCCACCGGCGTCAAGCAGCGTACGCCGGCGTCTCGAGGAACTGGGGAAATATAGTTATCGATCTGCGAAAGCCAGCGTCCACCAGCGTACGCCAGCGTCCTGTTTTGCTAGCCTGTGGTACCGCTAGAAGGAACCGGAATCGAAGCCATCTTAGAATGTGTTCACACTTCGTGTCAGCGTTTTAAGCGTTTTGAGCCGTCGGGTCCGCCAGCGTATCCTGTTACTTATACCGGTCTTACTCGCTCAAAACAGTGGTGGACACCTGAAATGCGCTCAAGAGGCTGCCGCAAAGTATGAACGCACTCTTGCGTGCTCTAATATTTTCTTTCTATTCGGAAATGTCCTCTTTCAGATTCACTTGAAATGCTTACCCATATCGAAAGTGGAGTGGGTTGCGGTCACTACTCGAGCTAGGAATTTGTATGACTCGCTCAAGCAGAAGAACATTCCCAATCCACATGATGATCGATTCTGTCAAGATCCGCAGATCAATAATCCTCTTGATCAGACTGATCATGTAAGCTGTTTGATTCTCAAGTTTTGAACGAATTTAGTATTCATTGAATGACCGTC